TTTTGAAAATTGATTTATATGCTCTATACCAATCACAACAAACTAACTTACAATTATTATATTTTACATCTAATAATATTATTCTCAAAGGAAAATACAATGATAATATTAAATATGTAATATCATATACTAATCTTGGTATCTTTTTATTTTTTTTAATCCTTTTTTTTTGTGGTTGTTTATTTCTTTCTTTTTTTTGTTCATTTAACAAACGAGGTTTTCTTGGATACTTTCTCATAATTATACATTTAAATTCTTGTTTGGTGTAAAACACTAAACAAGTTATGATACTCTAAATACAGTACTATTTTGAAGTACAATAAGAATATCTTTTTTACATGAATTAAAGCATTCTAAACAAAGCACATGATGATGTACAAACATTCCAATATTGTTAAAGGTAAACATTGGATTTCTCACATTATTCATCTGACATGTTGTGATTCCACAGCAGTTGTTATTTATCATCGAATTTGTATTGCAGAATTTTAATTCTCTACATTTATCACAAACTCATTTTCCTATATTATCTATATCTGTCATATGTGCTAAGTTTATCCTATTGGTTCCAAAATTATGTTCATTTATAGATAAACAATATCTAATTCCTATTCTATCATAATATAATCACTTTCGTATAATCTTTGGCTTATCACATATAATTTTGTTTATCTTACAGAATTGACATTCTTGTGTTATATCATAATAAAATTGACATCGTCTATATTCTTTACATCTATCATATTTTCCATCAAATACTACTACTTTCTTCTTTCCAACTCCTTCGATCTTTATGAATTTTATTCGTAATAGATTAAATATGTTTAATATATTATTCATATATCCATTATAGAATTGTGGATTAGATATTACTCTCTGTTAATATATATTCCATAAGATTTTTTTTACTCTACCTAATTTATATTGATTTTTTTGATCTAGTAAATCTTCAAATATCTCGATGATTAATTCTAATGATAATGATAGTATGTTTTTCATTTTTAATCATTGGATATTT